ATTGCACGACCATAAGCACACATTGACGCTTGCTTATCTGAAACAATAATTTGTATGGCAACGGGAACACAAAAACCTGACATGTCAGCAATAGATTCGAGTACTCTTTGCTAGTCAGATTTAGTCTAACTAGGGCATACACATTTGAGTGCAGTGGGCAAGACGCAATGACTCTTCCAACATTATCAAAAGGGTGCACAGTTTGTAGGTAATAGAGTTCTTATTCGGGATGTTTCATGTTTTGTATCCTTATTGACTTTCACATCCTTGTTACGATTTGGGGAAATTGATGAGACTTAAATTAAACATTTTATGTGTGTTACGACTACAGCTATTAATTACAATATTTACATTTAGATACAAATTATTCAAACTATTATTTTAACACTTCAGAATATTTTATTGGTGATGGAGGAAGACAAACCAAAACCTCTTTTCGATTGTTTCCAGCGGTGCCCACTCTCTTGTGGTGGGGTGGTCCCTTCTTGCACCTCGAATTTCACTCGAGGTTTGGCTCCTAGGTGGAATGCATTTGCTGTGTTTATCATGGCCATTGGTTGTTGGCTTGAAAGGATCCTGCACTGTTAAAAGAAGACACGTGTGGGTATGAGGTGTGTAACGTTATCTACATAGGAAAGACGATGTTGCTGCTGCGAGGTGGGAAAACTTTACATATCCAAGAAGATTAGTTCACTGACGATTGCTGTTGAAAACAAGACCACACAAGTGCGTATTTTTTTAGGTGCTGTGAGTCCTCAGTTCATCTTCTTTAATGTCAACGCTACACCTCCAAGTACAGAGGTTTCAAAGAGTTGTTGGAGGACAAATATATCCATCGCATGGATAGGCTGGGGAAATCTCCAGATTTAAATCCAATCCATCGTCCCAAATCACCAGCAGGGACTGACGTTACAAGATTAATGGGCAACATTTCCTCAACCGCTCTTTGTATTCAGCTTGGTCAAATGATATAAATCCTGTATATGAGTCAGATCAATCATATGGTGTACTTAAGTCTGGGTTTTTCTTTCAAGCCAACTATCTCATGAAAGCTTCTATCTTCTGTCCAGTTGTGTTCGCAACTAATTTTTCTATGAAGCACCTTCTCATTCATTGGGTTTCTCTCTTTGAAATGTTTTATTTATTTTTCCTATATTTTTAACTCTTGGGGATTTTATGGTATTATCTGCCTCGATTTTGAACATTTTTACTAGACTACATCAGAAAACCGTCTCATTATTAATTTTTGCACACCGGTGTATTATGGTGTAAAATAAATTAATACTTTTCAGCTATGGAATACTTACTCCTGAAGGTTCTGCAGAAATTTTTTGAAAAGTACTAAAGCAGTGCGAAGTACAAAAAACCACAATATCCTACAATACGTTTTTGGTTTAAACCTGGGATAAGCCTTATATTAGATGTATGCTTAATTTTAATTTTTTATAGCCGAGAGGAGATAGAAGTTTGAGAATCACTGAAATAAACGGTTTAGTATAAATTATGCTAATTTTTATCTTTTTTTTTTCTTAATTACACGAAACAAAATAAAGTTTTCGGGACTGGCTGATTTGAAGGGAAAAAGTTTTGGGAACTGACTTTTAAAAAACTTATACTTAAAAATAAAATAAACAATGACTGTAAAAATATATTAAAATTTCGTGTGAGATAATTTTCATACTAAAAAGTTATTAGCAGTGGCAGAAGTTAGAGGGGGGGGGGAGGATAATAAGTCCTTCTCTGACATATTTTTCTTAAAATCAAATTTAAAATTAATCATTACCTAAAAAATCCCCCAAAGTAAAAATAATAGTAATAGAGGAAAATATATATACTATATAAATTTTTTTAATTAAAATTTATTACTCTGTGTTCTTTCTAAAATAAAAACTAAGGATTCTGTAAAAATTAAAGTTTATTCTTTTTTTTTTAAAAAAAAAATATTTTTTGTTAAAATTGTATTAAAAAAATATAAATACCTGTTGTTAAACATCCTGACAGAGTTAATTGAAAGCGGGGGGGATAACGTTTTCCTTCCCAGCCCATGCTAAACATTTCATCAAAATTTGCACAGTTGCTCAAATTTTGATGGAACCCATTATTATTTCAATTATAAATAAATTAAGTCCACTGGAGGGTTGACTTTATTTCACAGGTTTTAAGTGTTTCACTACATCCCCTGATACAGTTGACAAGAAAATGTCGTCTTACACCCAACCTCTACAATGAAATTAAATCGATAGTCACATCAAAATGTTTAAAAAAGAGCAAAATTTATAGCTTCCCCTTCCCTGTTTATTTTATGTTTTAAAGTCAATTAGGTACAAGCAGTAGCGCACACAGGAATTTTTCAAGGGGGGCGGGGTCGAAAATTCACCATTCTTATATCATGCTCCTTTTGATTTTGTCGATTTTCGGGAACAAAATACAATAAAAAAATAATTATTGAATAAATAATTAGCATTAATTAATAAAATTAATCATTAATAACAAATATTTAACTAAATTTTACGTACTATATACAATTGTAATCAATCGGGAAAAAAATCGAGGGCTTTGGGGGGGGGGGGGCCGGACCCCCAGAACCCTCGCTTTGTGTGCACCACTGGGTACAAGTAATGTAAAAGAAAAAAAAATTAAGCCAATTCCTAATTCGGTCAACAACGACAAATTTTATTTCAGTTCCTTTTTATTAAATAATAACAATTTATATAAATATGTATATACATATGATAGAATCACAATATTAAGTGGAAAGATAGAAAGCGAGTTTCCTTGCAATTGTTCATGTTCCTTTCTATATAGAGTGTTGCACTATTAATATTTTTGTTTGTTACTTTTTATTCATTCATTAAATTTAATTATTCCAACATTCATTCACACAATTATTCATTCCACACAAAATAGTATAATAAATCAGAAATTAGGCCATACTAGGTGGGATTCGAACTCATGACTTTTGGATTTGAAGTCCAGCGCACTACAGTTACACAACGAGCGATTTTCCTATTTATATATCATGTTGGACTATTATTTTTGTTTGTTACTATTTATTCAGTAATTAAATTAAATTAAATAATTAATATTTGAGAAAACTATATTAACAGCAAGTGCCGTCCACTACAAGTTTAAAAGAATGTATTTGAACTTGAGTGGATGAATAAAAAGTATTATTAACGACTGAAAATTTGAACAAGATATATATATATATATGGAGAGTGTGAACTAATAGTAGAAATCGAAAAAAGCAAATTGATAGCAAAATTTACAGATTTGATTGTTTTATTGATAGAATTTCCCGCCAATTTTTAGTTCATAGTTTTCCAATAATATAATTTCTTAGTGCAATGGGGCATGACTGGGCCAATTAAAAAAACCCAGTGAAACACATATGTGGCCCGCAGGCCGCAGGTTGAGTATCACTGATCTAAAGAAACGTTTCTTTCCTCCTTATAGCATAAATATCAAAATTATTTTTCTCTTCTCCCCCTAAAAAATTCAGCGAATGCCACCAAACAAAATATTACAACGATTACGCACTTTACCTGCCATACATGATAGTCTGAATTGACAAAACAGATTTCTCGGAAAAACACATTCTCAAAGTTTTTTACAAGCAATTTATCCTTAATCTCTCTTGCAACACACTCCCCTACCTCGCTTCTAACACAGTTGTCAAGAAGCGATCACAAAAGAAGTCGGAAAGCTTCTCTTCTTCAATGCCGTTTAAAATAAACGCTGACGTCTCAACAGTTAAAATCCCGGCTACACTAGGAAGTATAAGGAGGGAGAAGCAAAAAAAATATGCTGATTTGATAGGAGGGTTCTCAAAAATAAAACACGCAATTTCCGTTGCTTTGAGCAGTTTTTGACTGGATTTGCGAGTATTTGCGTATTCGATTTCGAACGTAAGGGAGTCTTTTATTGTAAATAAATGTTTTATCGAGGTCTGGTGTTGTTGAAGCCAAA